GGAAGAAGAGAAGAAGCAAAGAGCACACATGGCGACGATCCAACCACGCACCAATCCGGTTCATGGCAAGAGGGTTAAATATAGAAAGGGACATGAAGAGGCGCATAGACTCGGGCATAAAGAAGAAGAAAAAAGGGTATATATAAAAAGGGAAAAAAAAAGAACCTACTGGGTTTGCAGGGCGCGTTCGCGCTCCTTACGTCTTAGACTCATGGCCATCATGCGCCAGGTCAAGTTCTCCATGCGCTCTTGATTAGGGAGCTGGGATTTAGTGCGCGAATAGAGCTTCCAGATCTGCGTGGCCAAGGGATCCTTCTTCTGCATCTCGTCGGGATTGTTGGTATCCGCGGCGGGCGAGGCATCCTTATTCCACTCTGGAAACAGCGGGTCAGGCAACAGCCCATCCGAGGTATCATTGCTCTGGTCGTGTGAGGAGAAATCGGGCGGGCTGCCAGGCGAGTCGAGCGAGAAGTCGTCGGACAACTGGGAGGAGTGGTGAAAGCGTGAGGCGGAGGGATTCATCATCATCATCGGATTATTATGATGGTGATGGTGGTGGTGGTGATGATGAGAGGATGATGGCAGCTCCATGGTCTCGGCCATGGTGTCGAAACCGGGGAAGACAAACGACGATTGAGCCCCGGTACGCCCCCCGGTATGTATCCCCGACATGGGTATGTGCTGAGAGTGTGCAAATAGCGACCGTAGAGAAGGAGACAGGATCGAGGATGTGGTTAAGCTGGTGGGCGCTGCACGAGCACGAACGTCGCAGCGGTCGTCTACCGAGAAGGAGGGGGGGGGGGGGAAGGGGAAGAAGAAGAAGAAGAAGAAGAAGAAGAAGAAAGGGCGAGGAAATTGAGACGAGGGATAGGGCGTAAATGAAGGTGAACGGTAGTTCTGTGATGATGGTGGTGGCGGTATTATCGAGGCGGCGTGGTTGTAGCAGGATCGAGGAGCGCTCGGTCGGAAATGGCCGCAATGAGGCAACTCCAGGTGAGATCGAGCGAGGCACACGACAAGGTCAGGTCAGGCAAAACAGGCAGCACAGGCATGGAAATCCAGAAGAGAGAGAATTCCTTTCTACCCGCCGTAGACGACGACGACGACGACTCTCGAAGACGCTGCAGGAGACCCCCGGTCGGAGGGTTGTTGGTGGAAGTCAAGAAGGCAAGAGGGAAGGGCGAGGAGGAGGGGAAAAGGGCTAACCGGTATGTAATAATACGGCAGCATACAGATTGTTACCAGTACCACAGACAGAGAGAAATTCGAGGCATATTGGCGCGACTACAAACAAGTACACTTTTTGAAGATATAAGGGAGTGTCTATTTGTTTTACATTATATATTATCATAATGATATATATACTTCGGCCTGTACTTTGGTAATATGCTTTATAACAGGGTACTAAAGATGTGTCTAGATGCTAGATGCTAGATTGCAGATGCAGATGCCAGGATGTTGTATGGATGTACTGTACATACACATATAATTACCATACGATACGTGTGTTAGATTACCTGGTACATTACCAAGTGGTAAGGTACTCCGTACTCCGTACTGGTCCTAATAAGCCGACACAATTCCATGACCTCATCTCTCCCGTTAAACATCACCCCCCTTCGAACACTCTTGGTGCATCGGTTGCCTTTTGAAATACCCCGGAGATAGCTCAGACCACTCATACCACTCATCTTCATAATGGACGTTCACAATTTTGACCTAAAACATGGACTTGCCCACATCCCGAAGTGAAGACGGTTCGGCCGTGGCAATGGGTAGTGGAGATGAGCTTAAACATTGGGGGCGGATTACAATAATACAGACACTAGGTACTTGGAACTGTTACCAGAGTTCATTTATTAAACTCTTACTAGTCCTTCTATTATGATTACTCTAGAGTACCTAGGTATGTAGTTCTGTAGTACTCCGTACAGAGTACCTACTCTAGTAAACTGCTGAACTATTCATATGTGCTATTGTCTATGTCTATGTCTATTGTATGCAGAACACAAGGACTCGCTGCGCTAATTTAGACCATCTCGTATTGCTCTGTATATACTGAGATCCGCCAAAGGAATGTCCGGCCAATAAAAGAAGTATAGTTGGACATAATCGAGTCTTGATTATAGGTCCCCGTAGAGCTCTACTGGTCCAAACCATACTCCGAAAACGGACAAATGCGACTGCATTGCTTGGTTTTCTTCTACGGTGGATAACGAGGACTAGCCCACTCTTAAATAGGTGCTGTCATTCACATGGTTACCTTCTAGAAGACCAGAGTCCATACTCATAATCAGAACGACGCTTCTTATATCTAGTATCTAGTATATATCGAGTATATATCGATTATTTATATACCTGGTACCTATATTGTACCTAGTAGTATTTATTCATTGAGAATTATCAGTTGTAATACTACACTATAGTTAGTAGGATTGGGTTCCGATCTTACCCGAGACAGTATCGGAGGATCTCGCTTGTAAAGTACATACGGTACGGTCCTTACCATACAACTTGATCAACGGTTTGAGGTCATCGGTTGCGGGGATCCAGTGAAACAAGAATCCAAGGTTTATTCTATTCATTAGTGCTTGTCCATTCGAAATTCATCCGTCATGATGATGTATGATGTATAGGGAGAAAATAAGAAACCCGCAGATTTGACGCTGGCTCCAAGCACGGAGCGATACTCGGAACGTGAGTCTTGAATTTAAGTAGCAGCAAGACTCCGTACGGAGTCCTCCGTAGTGCGACCATTTTCTCCACGAGTCATGGGCGAGATGATGCCAATGGCGGTGGTCCAGGCCCCACGATGGCTGGGCCTGCTAATCGCGTCGAGATAATGCCAGATAAGCCCGAGATAAGGATTGTCGTTGTCATTCACCTTATTCAGAGGGGCGTTAGTTAATCCCGTAGCACTAACTACTAGTTAGTAACAGTTAGTTAGTGAGCACTGAATAAGGCCTCTCCGTGGCATTCGGGAAATTCCCCTCTTCCCACGTGTATCCGGTACCGTACTGCACCGTACCATATGTGGTACACTGTACTTACACGGTATTGTACTGTACTGTACAAGTATGGTAAGTGTAACGGTGGCACCGCAGTATCCCCTCCCCGGCTGACTAACCAATCGTCGCGGATTGGCGGGTTCTCCCTCTTTAGGTTCACTCACTTTCACAAAGCCGTGCGGCGTCTCTCCCGTACCACGACTGAGCCTCGCCGACGGAAAGGATCGACAACCCACGCAAGACAGACGAGACGAGATACTTGGTCCGTCCTCTGTATCCGATGAACGGAACAGGACGGTGAAACAAAACGAAACCAAGGAGGATTCCGGTACCGCGTCTTCTTCCGCTCTCTCTCGCTCTCTTGCTCTCTCTCCCCCCCCCCAGAGGAAAAGCCGTCCGAACCAACCCGACGAGAACACAACTCCCGATCGGCGGAATGGGGGGGGGTTTGGAAGCCACAAGGTCGAAACAGGTAAACCTCCGTGTGAGTGGAGGAACCATCTCACCAGAGCTGATTCGATTCGATTATCTCGCCAGGAAAAAACGGGTCGAGATATGGAGTCGGACGGGTCGAGCGCTGCGCCATCAGTCGAATATGCAGGTCAGTGGGTGGAGACTGGAGACCTTTGCTTTCCAGAGTAGAGTACTCCGTCGTAGTGGTAAGTTAGTAAGTACGAAATGGCAGTCGTTTGCTAACAGCAGTAGAGGCACAGTCGATATCAGCTTCTTTCCACGGTCGTCTCTCCCCACACTAAGCTGATTATCTCTCCCCCCCCTTTTTTTTTCTTTTCCCTGCGGCTCCAGCGGTAAAGCTGAAATACCCCGGTGACAGAAAGGCCGTTACACCCCTTCTCTGCCCCCCCCCCTCCCCTCCCCCCTTCTCCAGCCTTGCTGTGTCTCCGACTGGAAGACCCGTGTTGGCTGTTTCAACCACCGTCGGCCGGGAAGTTCTTGGCGGCACTACCGCAGTCGGGGAGAAAGGGCATAAGGAGTAGGGGGCTGGAAACCAAAAAGGCTTGTCGAAGGCAGCAAATACCGAGCAGGTGACAAGGTGTGGAAATAGCAGCGGTGTCTGGCCAGTCACTGTGGTCCGTGGTGGTGGTCTTGCTCGACGTCGGCGGAGCATGCGCTTCTCCACGGGCTAGCAAGCACCGCCGTGGAGAAGGGGAAAGAATGGGGTAAAAAGGAATTAAATATAATAGCGGCGAGAGCAGTCGGTTCTCAGGTGAACTCAGTCCACGACGAGAACCTTGGGCCCAACCCATAGGGGACTGCCCTCGTTGAACGAGCCCACAAATGAGACAGAAGGCATCGCTGCCATCACACACACATAGAGAGAGAGAGAGAGACAGAGAGACAGAGAGAGAGAGAGAGAAAGGGGAGAAGAGAGGGTGAGACAGAAAGAGTAAAGAAGAAAGAAGAATAAATGAAAATTTTCTCTTCTCCCCCTGTCTTCACTAATCGACGCAGAGCAGAGTTACATCCAGTCCTTTTTGTACGACGACTAGTCTCTCCCTCTCTCCGTCTCTCTCGCTCTGCGATAGACTGATAATGAGTCGATCCAATGCGTGGACTCGACGAAACAACACACATCCCGAGATAAGCTCGAGGGAACAGACACGTCACGACATGATGCATTCATATCAGTCCAAAAAATAAAAAAATAATAATAATAATAATACATCTTGAAGATGTTATCAAACGAAAACCCTGCATCCTGATAGGCATTCCACTCGAGGAATGTGCTTTATCTTTTTTCGACACTCGCGACTCTGTATCACACACACAATCACATTATTATGATTATCATCATTATCAGAGCATGTCTGTCTACCCCGGAAATTCTATCTCAGCGCCGAGCGTATAATGTGCAGCAGGCTTATCACGCACTTGGATTTCTTTCCCCGTTGCGACTCTCGGCCATGAGATAAGGTCCACATTACCATCTCGATGATATCATTTGGGAAGCGATCAATATACGGTCTGGAATTTGGGATCAAAGGTTATCTCTGATAACACGGATTTACCTCCATCAAACCGCCGCCTTCTCCGCGCAAAACCATCCGCATCGATCGTCGCGGGGTCAGCAGCTAGAGTTTGACAGAGCTTGGCTCGGGAAGTGTTGAATCACTACAAGTACAAGTGCAAGACTTGGTACTAACTAGTTCCCTGCTTGGTACTCTCCATGTACGACCGTACGGCCACTACTTGATTGCAGGGCGACACTATGGGTAGTTACTAGATTGGATGTTGGATGCGACGGACTCCGCGTGGACAGCATGTAGATCGTGCAATTCCAATGGCTCTCTTATCAATGATGATGCACTGCACTGATTTCAGGTAGGTTTGAAGCATAACTAGTTACCTTACCTACTATTAACCAGTCATTTGGTCAGCTTACTCCGTAGAGATCATCATCGTGATAGTGGCTTATCAGATAACCAGCTAGTTACTAACCAGTCGACTTATCTCTTACTTCTATCCATCATATCGAATTCGACTTATCACATGGTAATAAGTTGGTGAGTGTAAAACGTCATCGACCAGGCCAAGTACAAGCCAGTTATCAGAGATAGTAAAGACAGTCCAGAGCCGTGGCTCTTGGTGAAACCTCAGAAATTGAGCCTAGAGTCCAGTCCCGGTCCCCAATACATGATAGCCGTGCCAAAGTGCTGTCGATCGCGCATTGGGATATAAGACAATATGATATACACAATAGGGATGTCCTGCTACTTCTGAAACAGACATCCATGCGACAAAAGAAATCTATATGTATGTATGTGTGTGTTGAACCCCCTCCTCCCCTTCCCGGAATATGCGGATCATAGAGCGAAGGACAAAATGCAGACAGGAAAGAGAAAAAAGAAAAAAGCAATGCTGGTTAGGAAAGGATCATTCAAAGAGGTATATATATCGTGGAATTATGCCGCCCAGAGTATATGATATGAAAGAGATGATCCCGGACGCCCGCTAATAACCTGCTGAAAGGGAAAACTGAGAGAGAGAGAGAGAGAGAGAGAGAGAGAGAGAGCAAAACCGTGCCCCGTACCGCCCATCCACTGGGTAAAGAGATAGACGGGGGAACGGGGTGAAAGTCAAAGGACAGGGAAAAGATCAATCAATCCTCCGGGGTATAAAAGGTGGGAGGGTAAGTTGATTATTCGATGCCCTGGGCGTAGGGTCGAGAACGTGCCGTGATTTCTCAGGCGTGAGAAGGTCCTTGGCCAGGCTGGCCCATCGGGGGTTGGTCGACAAATGACGCAGCCGCATCAGCTGGGTAGACGGGGTATGGAGAGACCGGCATGGCCGGCATGGTGTTGACGTCCTGCCATGTGGTCGGGTAGCCCATCGGCATCGGTTGGCCGGGATATGAAACGGAGACCGGTATACCCTGCGGTGGACTCTGCGGGTTGATGGGACTGGTGGGAAACACCTGCGCAGGACTGGTCATCCTGCGCTTTAGATCCGGCGGCACTTGATGAACCATCTGGTTGTGGAACGGCACCACCATCTCGGGCTGGCCGGGGAACGTCATGGCGCGGCCGGGTGGGACAGGCCAGACCGAACCATCCGGTTGCACGTAGACGGGAGTCGTGCTGATGACCGGATGTTGTTGTTGTTGCTGCTGCTGCTGCTGCTGCTGCTGCGCGGTCAGGGCGGGTGATGCGGCGATGGGGGAATTCGACGGCAGGGCACCGACGGGCGTGCCCCCGGGACTCCACATAGTCGGGGGGGATAGGCTCATCATCGGCGGTTTGGCGGCCATCCCGGCCAGCAGCTGCGGATCCGGAATGGTTGTATATTCGTCCCAAGGCACTGTAGGGTCCAATGGTCCCGTCGGCGATAAGGTTGCTGCTGTAAAGTCTGTTGGCGCCACGGCTTGATCTACACAAGGCGTTTAGCGAGACGATGAATGACGCTTTAGTTGTAGTCAAAGGAAGAAGAAACGCTACCTGGGGTGAAAGGACTCATGGGATTCCCAGCAAAAGGGCCGGTTCCGTATGCAGCGACATCCTGATTGGAACTCAATGGTATCGGCTGGTATGGATAGAAGGCGTCAGCCTGCTCGGGGCCGCCGGCTATCGGGGGTGGAGAGGATGAAGCGGTCGAAGGATCGGTCGAGATGGCTTCCAACTGTGCGCCGGGTCGTGATTTCTTCTCCACAGGAGGTTGTTGGTCGACGGGGAAGAACTGGCACTCCTTTTTCAGACGAATACAGTTCTCACAACGACCCTGCGCGTCATCGGCCGCAACGAGACATCGGATTTTCCTTCGGCGGCAGTGCACTATAGATTCCCAGACCAGAGAAAGACATGAGCAAAGAGCAGAGCGAGGAGGAGGAGGTGGGGGGGGGGGGAAGGGCAGAACGAGAGAGGCACGTATAGATCACCGGGAAAGAGTAAAAAGGCCAGAGAGACAGGGGTGCGCAAAACCGGATCCATCTCTCTTGCCCTTTCTCTTTGGGAATCTGAAAGCGAAGGTATGCATTGGTTTTTGTGGATATGCATATGTATGTATGTATATTTTTTTTTTTTACTAACCACAAGCAACGGACGTCCGATGATACCCAAGCTTATTGCGCTTCTTGTCCGCAGCCGATGTACTGCTCGGGGCCTCCATGACCGTGAAGTGCGAATTCGGTATCGAGAAGGTGCTTTCGACGACCGCGGGCATAGCTCCAGAGAGCAAAATCCTGTAATCCTGCCACCGAGCCGAGGCGCATTAATTGCAACACGCCGTCTCTGGCCTGCTGGGGTTGTACGGTGTGTTTGTGTGTGTGCGTGCCGGAGTTGAGACTGCGACGAGGCCAAGATCTAAAAAGAGGGTGGAAAAGATTGTATGATTAGGAGGGGGGTGAAGGGGGGGAAGGAAAAGGGTCAATGGCCAGCGAAGGTCCAGGTCAAGGTCAAGGTCGATCCTGCACGAGCAAACGGTATGCCCAGACCAGGAAAGACAAGGCGACTTGAACTGCCGGGAGGCTTGGTCGGAGTGCTCCGCCCAAGACACGCGATCAGCCACGCGAGGGACTGAAATTTGCACGTTTCACACGAGATCGATCGATGTCCAAATGGCACAGGAGGAGGGGGGAAATCCCAAAGTTGCCCCGCGGATCTTGCGGTAGTTCGCAACACTCCGCCCAGTGGTTCTGTGGAGATGGAGGTAGTAGTTATGGAAGGGAGGGAGGGGGTGTAGGTATCTCGAGGTATAGATATATGGAACGGTCTAGAAGAAGCAGGGATAGGAGATCTGTACACAGCAACTCCCAAGGAAGAGAGAGAGAGAGAGAGAGAGAGAGAGATGGAAAAGAGTGTGTGTGGGCATATGCACACAAGTGTATGAGAGAATGACTGCTGTCTAGGATGCAGGAACTCAAGCGTGCGTAAGGGTATGGAAAAGTGGGCTAGGGAAAGAGAGACAGAGCTAATGAATGGCCACCGTTGCTGAATAACATTGTAGCAGGAAGATATGAAGTGAGAGAGGCTAACTGTGGGGTGAAACACCCAAGGCTTTTTTTTTTCTTCTAAAAAAAAAGGGAAAAGACGATGCGTCCGGTGTACTTGGGCCCGAAATGCGCAACATCCATCAGACGTGGAATGGTGCGTCGGACCAGACGACAGAGTAGGCAAGAGTCAAGAAATCCACCGCAGATGATCTGGATAGGAAGAGGAAGAGCTGCCAGTTCAGGGGGGAGAAAGGAACCAATCACTCGGTGGTCAAGAAGAAAAGGGTTCTGATGGATTACCTTGTCTATCCTTGTTCTGTTATGGGTAAAAGATCGGAACGGAGCCATTCGTTGGATGGTGATTTCCTCATCCCATTTTTTTTTCTTTTGTTTTAAATCTTGTTCGAGACTGGGGCCTTGTCCAGGTTTAATTCGCATTGGCAGTTGAGTGTTTCTATAAAAAAAAAAGGGGACTAAAAAAAAGGGAAAAAAAGGAAAAAAAACACTAAAAGAGTAAAAGAAAGACGGCGAGGCAAGGATTGTGACGTCGTCGTTGAAAGCTTCTCGTCCTCGAAGACAGTAGCTAGCTAATTGCTACTGGAGAGTGGATGGTGTGTGTGTGTGTGTGTGTGTGGGAAAGGGGCCCCAAGCCAGAGACAACGTCGAAGCCACCAACTAGAGCGAGAGAGGATTGATAGTGATACCTGTCAATCGGCGACGATGCTGGGGAATCCAAGGCGTCGGGCGATTGGCGGTTGACCACGAGGGCCCAATGGGCGGGCCTCGAAGAAGCATTCTGGGCGAGTTCGCTGCAGGAGGGATCCTTGGGTCACGTCGAGCCACCGACGAAACAGACCCATGAGACGCTACTAGGTAGGTACATGACAGAGAGCATTCCTGTTTCACCATCGTATGTGGTGGTACTGTGTAGTACTCCGTAGGATGTGTACTCCGTATGTACTCCGTACAGGGGCCCAAGGGGGGGCGGTGGTCTGTCGCCATGGACCGGAAGTGGAAAGTGAAGATCTCTCTCTACTAGCGAGAGCGGTCGACTTCCGACCAGCAAGAAGGAGTCTTGCAGTTCAAAACGAGAGGGTACAAGAGAAGCGACTTGGGACTATCAGACGAGAGATGCCTCCTGTTGGTGGAAGATAGCGTGTGTCACCATGTCCGTAATCGTATCCCAAGTCGTAGTAGCTGTACGAGCACAGCGATTTAAACTGTCTATCCACCGGCGTGGCACTGCGGTCTCTACCCTTTCTTCGGGAGATCCCACGGATGATCCGTTGAAGCTGTGTGGGTGTGGAGAGAGACTCCAAACTCCGGGCAAGGTTTGATTAAGGATCGTAGCTGCGTCGCCATCGGCTTGGCGTCGTCTGGCACTTAACGAGAGAGAGAGAGAGAGAGAGTAGAGTCCACAAAGATCGGCAAAAACATAGGGAGAGATTTCTCGTACCTTTCTTTCTGTGAGGTCTTTCCGACTGTTCGCTCCAGCTGAGACCAACGCAGCGTATCAACGAGGAGATCCAGATGGAAAACCATGGCACCAGGCCTCCAGAGAGTGGCAGAGCCAGCAGCAGCTCGCTGCCAGAGCCCCGCACGGCGATCGCCGCAGAGTGGTGAGGGTTGAATGGTGGTCGGGGCAGTGCTGGTGCTGGTGGTCGTGGAACGGTTGGAAGAAGTCGAAGCATCTGAAACACGCTAGTGCTTAGTCAGCGGAGAGATAATATGGGCGAGAGAACACCTGCCTAAGGGAGCTAGAGCAGTAGATATGGTAATATATATTGATATAATAAATAATATTAAGACTATTATATTAATAAAGAATACATAACGTTAATAGAAAATACGAGAAGAGCGGATATATCTTCCGAAAGGCAAGAGTATGTTAGCGGAGAAGTCTACTGAATAGTACTACAGATTGTAGTAATTGACATTAACTACGATCCATCAAGCCGATGTTTCACCTAACGGCGACTGGAGTCTAGTAGACCACTAGTTACCACAGGAATTCCAGTTGCGAGGAAGTACGTGGCCTGAGGATGATTGACAGTAACTCACCTCGGTAGTTCCTCCGTTCCTCACGGAGGACTAACCAGATACTTCCAAGTCAATGGTTAATTGATTACTCCGTAGTAGTAGTATGATCTCCTATTTACAAGACGGCCAAAGCCGAGTCCACGCTGAATAAATCTCTCAAGACGTTACTAAGTGGGTGGTGGATCGAACATACCCAAGAGGCCCGGCGATCTCGATCAGAATTACGTATTGTAGACTGCGTAAACCCGCGGCAAATGCAAATCCCGATCACTGATCAATCAGTCTCCCAGGCGGATGACGATCCCAACGTCCGCCGCACGCGCCTCCCGGATACAGCAGGCGAGACAGGTCCGGCTGGCTCGACCCAGGACAGCAGAGCAGCCGACAGAGGCACACCAGGCACGGGCGAACGTCTCCCTCGTCGCACAGCCCCGGGCGTCGATGACCAGCACCTGCTCGAATTCAAAGCCGGCCCCGTTTCCTGTCGAGACCCTGCGTGGCGCCCGTGTGGTGGCGAGATCCGCCAGCGGCACCCGGCGGTACCGGTAGGTTCGATGCAGAGGATGGCCTGGTAGTCGGCTATGCTCTTGTTGGAGAGTCTGCTGCTGGTGATGCTGGTGATGCTGGTGATGCTGGTGATGCTGGCATCTCCGGATAGGCGAACCGCAGTGATAACACGCCCATCCCAATGGTGGTTGGCATTCGTAGGAAGAGATAAATTGCACGTCGTATCGCAATAAGAAAGAAATCAAAGTAGACGGCGTCCCGGTCGCAGAGAGATCGAAGCATGCGGTCGCCTCGTCCGAAACGAGACCGTGCTGCTCGTGCGTCTCGGTAGCAGGTATCTTATTGTTCAGCGTCAAGGACCGGAACGCCACCTCGACCTGGGGTTCCGCTTCGTCCGTAGGCATGGTAAACGCCTCACCCGAGAGCGTCCCGGGCCCCAGCGGAGTCGAATGCACGGCGAGCCGACCCCCCTGCTTGATGCGCGGCTTGTTGGCTTCGCTCGGCGGCTCCGGGAGAGACGAGACCTGAATCCAGGTGTCGGCCAGAGGCTGCTGTGTCGCTGCATCCCACGGTAAGACCGGAACACTCATCCACCCCATACATGTCTTGACTCCGTCCAGACTGGCCAGAACACGCCCGACGATGCACTCCTTGCTCCACCAGCTTCGGCCCTCCAAGACGAACCCGCCATCGAAACTCGCCACCGGGCCCAGGCGTGCAAGCGCTTCCCGGTCGGCTTCGATGAGCGTGCCCATCAGTAGATAACTCAGGCCCGGGCCAGGAAGAACAAACCCGGACAGCCAGCTGCGGGAAACCCAGCCCCCGATCGAATCCCTCCCACCATCGTCGTCGTCGTCGTCGTCGTCGTCGTCGTCGAGGTGTAGCACCACCTGTCGAAACGACGGGGTTCGATTACCCTTCATCTTCATCTTCTTCTTGCCCACGTCGGTATTATTTCGCACTGGGGTTCCAAAGATCTGGCTCAGAGTGAGCCGCGCACCCTCTTCTAGAGGCTGAAGCTTCGATACCAGCGTCTTCTGCAACTCTTCCACCCGTGGCCAGCCGATCTTTTCGGCAAATGTCACGAGTCCTTCCAACTGCTGGCCGGTGTGACAGGGCGTCAGGGTACAGTCCCAGGCCGACCAGCCAGCCGAGACGGTGAGATCGGTAGGGCTTTTGTGCTTCAGACTGCCGCCAAACATGGTGAAAATGCGATGGAGTTCCCCGGGCGAGCCGTGGGGGGGGGATCCGTTCGAAGAGGAGGAGGAGCCCCTTGGATATGGCGCGGGTTGAGCCGGGTGGTATTGGACGGTCAGACTGTCGAGGAAGCGTCGGGTGGCGACAATATCCCAATTCACTTTACCCTCGCGCAGACGATCGAGGAGCTGGACCTCGTCGGAGAAAATGATCAGACTGGGCGAGGCCTCGACGATGCCGACGCGGACAATCGCATCGAGACGCAGCAGGAGCTCCGCAGCGAGCAGCATCTGGATCAGGAGCCACTTGCGCTCCAGGCCTCGATGGACGCGCGACTGGACGGCCGGGTCGTCGCTGTCGATGAATTCTAAGCAGTCGCCGTCGAGATGCGGGGAGGCCTCCCACAGGATCTGGCCAACGCGGAAGCGCCAGTCGACGGAGCCAAAGTTCAGCCATGCGCCGGGTGCGGCCAGGACTTCGGTCAACACCTTGATCTGCGACTTGAGGCCGAAGGAGTCTCCGAGGACCGTCATCCGCGGGGTGGGCGGGTAAAGAAATTTGGTGAACAGGCTGTGGTACAGGTCGCGCGGGGTGTGTCTGGTGAGGATGGTGGTTTCGACGTCGTGCGCGTCCTTCATCATCAGGAGACCATGCCGGAACTCCCTCAGATACTCCAGCCTGTCGACCAGGTCGCGGAAGCTGATATCCCGCACTCCGATGCGCTTCCAGCCCTCCGGACCCTCGCAGAGCAGTTTGCGTCGGTCGTGGACGGTGCCATTGTTCACCTCGCAGTAAGGGTGGCGGTAGGACTGCACAAAGTCAAAGGCTTCGGTGGCGGGCATCTGCGAGAAGCGTAGAATGTCCGGGGAGGTCTGGGGGTGTGGCGAGGCCTGGTATTTCCCCGAGTCCGCCACGGGCAGTTCGAGGAAATGACAGAGCCCGATGGCGCCCCGTTCCAACGTGCTCCTCGACATCATGTTCGGCACCTCGTAGACCCCAAGATCAAACGTCGCCCGCTTCGTGACATCGCGCTGTTCCCAGTTGTAGAGATGCGCATACGGCCCGCCCTGCGCAATCCACTCCTTGGGCACTGGGAGATGGGCGTGCAGCGTCGCCAGCGCAAACGACGGGTGCGAGAAGGGTTTGCGATCTCGCAGATGCTGGATCCACGGGTCATGTTCGTCCCAGGGGAATATAACCTGCGGATACCATCGTCCCCTCCGCCCATTCTCCAGGAAGAAATGCGGTGCTCCAGAGAAGAGTGTCTTGATGTCCTCCTTGGAGAGATTGGACTCACCAGAAGCCGACGACGACGGCTTGCTAGCATCTCTATCCAACCTGTATTCCAACGCTTCCTGTATCGTGACGGGCTGGTACGGCTCAGCTTTAGCTGGATGCGAGGGGCCCTTCGGATGGTGCTTCTCTTTGCGACCGTCGGGACTCGTCGCATCCTTTTGCCTGGGCTCGCTGGCCTTCCTGGCCTCCTCCTGTTTTCCCGGCGCGTGAACATCGGCATCAGAGTTCCTGCGTAAGATGCGAGCGAGCGATTTTCGACTCGTATGGCCGGTCTCTGTCGAGTCCACGGACGCCCATCGCCTCAAGTGTTCCCCTTCGTACTCTGTCTCGTGGGCGTGCGACGGCGGCGTCGAGGTCGAGAACGACCGGCTGCGTCGAAAGAGTTGCATTTCTTTTGATCTTTCGTCAAGCGACAACAGACGAATAAAATGAATAGAATAAATAAATAAATAAATAAATAATAGAGCGACGGAGTGGGGTGGTTCAAAGGCCGGAGGGGAAGTGAGACGGCCAGTCAACCCCTGTCAGGAGTTCTCGATCGGAATTAAATACAATGAAATACTGAGCTGGTTAGCCGGTTCTCCCTGCGATGACACGCATCAAAACAGTCATTTCCAGCCATGAGAGGGGGGTAAGGTAAGGTGATGGTAACGCTGTGAGCCCGGTCGGCTCGAGCAGGAGAGAGTCGGAAGGCGTCTGACGACGGACTCCCACGTTGAGGATGAGAAAGAGGCACAGCCTGACAGTGGGAGAAACATCACACGGTCTCGACAACAAGCAGTCAAGCGGGGAGAAACAAGCACGTTGCACGAACTAGAAGATGGTGCAAGAAGGTGGTGCAAGAAGGTGGTGCAAGAAAGTGGCCGCGATGACGTGTTTGCCGACCGGCCGAAACTGAGGTATGGACAATAGCTATTGATTTGGTTTATGTCTTTTTTTGGATTATTATACATTTCAAGGTCACTATCTAACAGAGTACACTACGCATGGTCATGAAGAAAGGCCAGAACAGTCTGGTATCCCCTCTCGTACTCCTTGCGGACTTGGGGGTCCTCGAGGTCGGCGCGGGCGGCCATCCAGCCGTGGATCTGGGTGGGAAAGGTCTCGACGTAGTTGGGCACCTGGAAGTTCTCCTTGGACTGGGCCACGGCGTCGGTGGACTCGTCCTTGGAGGCGAGCATGGCTATGGGGATGGTGACCTTCTTGGCGTCCTCCGGGTCGAGCATGGCCGGGTGGCACTGCACGGCGGCCTTGAAGGGGACGGCGCCGTCCGTCTGGCCAGCGATCAGGCTCGCGATCTTGCCGCCCCAGCAGTAACCCAGGATGGACCACTCGAACGCCGTGCCGCTGGGCGCCAGCTTGTTGGCCTCGACAACGATCTTGGGGATCTTCGACAGGGTGTTGGGAGCAGCGGCCTTGGTCTGGAAGAATTCGCCCAGCTTCTGCTTGTGCTCGTCCGTCTGGGGCGGGTACCAGGAGATATCGGCAGGGCTGCCCTCGAAGAAATCGGGCATGAAGACGCGATACTTCTTCTCGTTGGAGGTGGCGAGGATGTCGGCACCCTGGATTGTCTGGTCGAAGAAGCCAAAGATGTCTGTTGTCGTCAGCTATGTATATATATATATATATATAGGCTCGATCTCTCACCAAAAATCACCAGAATCGCCTTGGTCGCAGACTCAGGCCCGGTAACGTCTAAAGGTGTTAGAACCGACCACGCAACAAGAGGGAGAAAGACCTACAGGTCTTCAATCCATTGATGGTCTTGTATTCGCCCTTGGCCTCGTAGCCCTTGGAGACGACGGGAGGGATCCTGAACCGAGTCAACCACCGCACTCAAGCATCCCAGCATCTTGAAAGATTATCGATGACTTACGAGCAGCAAGCCTTGCTGATTTCAGACATGGTGGGTGATGAGCAAGTGAAGCTGTAGCTGTAGCTGTAGCGAGATAGCACGGAGAGAACCGGGGATCTTCGCAGAGGTCGAGTTAGAAGCTGCTTATATTGCATCTAGCAGACGGATGAGCAGAGAAAAGGACAGGAAAACTTACGACGATGTACCACTCGAGCAGGAGAGAGAGAGTGTGTGTGTGCGTGTGTGTTGTTCCGTGGGTTGAAAAAAAGGGACGTTTTGTTGTTGCACTTGAGCAGCTCCGAAGCCCCGAGAAATCAACGTCACCGCGGGGCAAAGAATAAATTGCCGGTTCCTGTTGTCGTACAACTTGACGGTTGTAATTCCATTATAGTTTTTTATTTGGGTATGGATTATGATTAATCACCGACATCATGACCTCATCTACATGTTGATCATGTTACTTCATGGCCAGACTGTAGCAGTGTTACCAATACTCCGTATAGTATATCTCTCTGTAAACCCATGCTAAAGCACTTATCCGGACAAGGCCTCTAAACTGATCCGAGATGCAGGGCTGGTTCATAGGACGCTATTTCCAGGTCATTTCCATCAACCAATCCTCGATGGTCTAACGGTCATGATTTCCGCTTGTCATCTCTCATAGAGAGAACAAGCGCGGGAGACCTGGGTTCGACTCCCAGTCGGGGAGAAATTTTTGCTCTTCTTTTTATTTAGTCTTTATTCGAAGCTTTGCCAGCGGCATCAGGCGTGCGCCTTTCTGTTGCATACTTTTCTAATCCGGAATCTATGCCCTTTTATCAGTATAAACTACACATAAGACATATGGTAGCTGAGGTATGGAGTTTCGACGCCTCTATTATTATGAGACTAATCTATGTGTTTCTGCAGCATCGAATATAGTTAGACTTCAATGCACTAGACTTGATCCTATCCACCCTCCTCCTCCAATAACCATTGCAGTATAGCCCTGTTCGATCCAGATGATCTGCCATTCCCCGCCTATCCACTGACTCAATCGTAGAGCAGTCAGATGAATGTGATTGCCACCTCCGCAGTTAAATGGCACAGCCGAGCCATGGTCACCAGTATTCTTGTTTCTCCGTGAGGCCTCAGATGACTCACAAACCGGAGATCTAAGCATCATCGTTGATTAGCCTTGGGGGGCGTAGGCAGAGAGATATAAAAATATCTTCAATACTGTAAGAGGACCAGCGATTCATCTTTGCTTACAGAGTTTCTAATACCCTACGACTTCGTCTCATAAACTCTCTAACCCTAGTCTAAAATGCTGGCAGAAAAAAAACTGCAAAAAGATCTCCCCGACTGGGAGTCGAACCCAGGTCTCCCGCGCTTGTTCTCTCTATGAGAGATGACAAGCGGAAATCATGACCGTTAGACCATCGAGGAAGCGATGATAAGGATTAGAATTAATGCTATATGAAGCAGAACCGAAGCAGAGAGAGTCGAATTTTTCGACTGGTCTAGATCCTGCACCATACAGAACCATGGGAGAGCCTGTGCAGCAGTATGGATACTTTGTCCCAGTTACCGACAACCGCGTCGACCATACTTTGGGCGGTGCATTTTCTGCTCTTCTTACTATAGTAACTATCAAGTAATTTAATCGTTGTATTCATGATTGACCCCCGAGTTCCTGTACTCACACGTAGGCATGCGGATGGACAGAGTCAAACTATGGGAAACCTGCATTCCTCACCGGTCTGGACCGGTCCGGGTATAAGAGCAGAAACTATCGTGGCATGTAAGGCTGATGGAGCCTCCCGACGGTCTAGACTTGGGAGAATCATAGCTTTCTGCAGAACAGACGGCTCCTGTGGCATTCTTACCCCTGAATTCGACGCCTGCAGGACCAGTCTCGCAGTTATGAGGGAGTAGTTAGTAGTCGAGTAGGTTAAATATGCAATTATTGACCGATGTTACCTAATACCAGGTATTGGCTCGTACTAGTAGTACGAGTACGTACCACCGAATATCTATGTGGAGAGCAAGAGTTGACTAGATAAATTAGGTAGGTGAAATTGTCTGAAACGCGGCCTAAGCTAGAGCCCTTTATTAGCTGGTAAGTTTGATTGTCTGTTATAGCACTGTACGGAGGACCAGGTGACTATGCAGAGACTAGGACCTAGGTACCTAGTAAAAACCTGATATCCTGATTAGGACGGGAGGTTCCAAGGCAACGCAGGCGATGCTAGATAGAGACAATCCTCCGTACTCCCTCCGGACTATGCAGCTACATGATAGTGAACGAACTATAAGAGTCGCATAAATTAAGCATCGGTCTGCGCCACCCGTTACCTTACTACTCCTGTACAGAGACGGAGCCGGGAGGGGCGATCGAGGCCGACTGGTCAGACGGTATAACTAGGTAGGAGGTAGTTACTCCGTACCTAGGAGGTAGCTAATAAATTCGCTACTCCGTACGGGTCCTTCGTACGTGCATTACTCTACAGGGAGGAAGTGCAGAGGAAGTGCAGAGGAAGTGCAGAGGCAGAGCGAAAAAAGGGTCATTGGAGCCGAAGAGACACGACGGGCTAGACCCGAAGCGGACGGACAGACAGTGAGCACCATTTCCACATGATCGCGCTCGCTAGTGGCTGCCCGGCCGGGGATGGAGCGAAACGAGGCTCGTATCGCGCAGGGTCCGAGCAACCCGCGTTCCGGGCGGTGATTGGCTGGCCGACGAGGCGAGGCCCGACGGCCAGACCTGCCGGCCGGTCACGGCTGATCGCTGATTGGACAGTGCCGGGGCAGCGAGCCAGACTCCCGGGGCAGGTTTAGACGGGTCGCTAGGCGGCTAGACCGGTCCCGGTCTAGCTTGCCTCTGGCCTCTGGCAACCCGTCTATTCTTCCTCTATTTCCCGACCTAGTATACACTGCGTATCGCCGGCAAGGAATCTTAATTCTGTCTTTCGCCCTTTGATCGAGTACGGAGTAGCTTATTCCCTCCACCACATTCCTACTAGTAGGTATGTACTACTACCTGGCAGTATTACCTAGGTAAGTACTAGGTACGGAGTACTCCGTACCTAGATATACAGATAGTATTAACCTGTAAAAGGAGTACCTACCTAGAGTATACTATGGATGTAAAAGTACCACCTAATACTCAGTCTATCTCGATCTCATGGGCCCTGTCAACCACGTTGCCGTGGATCGACTCCGTCCATTCCACTCCCCTGACGCTCTAGGCTCTGGTGGGCACGATCTCTACCGACTCCGTAGTCGTGAACATCCCTTCTCTTCTCTTCATGCTCTGCTGCCTCTCCTCTTGCCCCTCCCTGGCCGCTCCTCCGGGTCCCCAAGTTCCCCTCCATCGCTATTTTATGCTGAATCTCCTTCGTTTGACGGGGACTGTTCTTCCTTGCCTAGATTAACTCACCATCGTGATCATGGCTGTCTGAGAACATTTATTATTATTTATTCTATCCTACATATTGATTATTATTATTTATCTGTTTTATTAGTATTTTTATTTTCATTATTACCTGTTTATTATTATTTTCATTATTACCTGTTTATTATTATTGGTATTATTCTCAACCTCATTCCAAGGTATTTATTTTTTATTTCTCCCCCCCCTCTTCCTCCCTCTCTTTTTCTCGCTTTTTTTCCTTCCTTTTTTTTTCCCTTCCTCCACTATTTTTAACCAACCACCCCCTGCCTGCTGCGCGGTCCGGCTTTGGCCTCTTGTCGTGTCTCGACTCTTGTGTCTCTGGCCTCCCCCCCGTGCGCGCCATCTTTTCTCTCTTCCCTCATCAAGCCTCGCGCACTGTCTAGACCCTTGTCTGTGGTGAATCCGTCAGGTTGGGTGGTGTTCCTTTTGTCACCTCCACCGCCATCATCGCCATCGCCATCACCATCGCTATTCCCCCACACCCTCTACCACTGACACTGACACTCTTACCTCCTATACGAACAGACGTACTGCGCTGAATCTTGATTCCTCACTCATCGTCTAATTCCTCTCTTTTCTCTCCTTTTCCTTTTCCTTTTTTTTTTTTTTTTTTTCTTTCCCTTTTCTCCACAGATCTCGTCTCCACCGCTCCGTGTGACAGCCATCGTGTCGGGCCCTGCTCTCGCCCTCTTCTCGCACCACTGTCGACTGGCCATGCATCGGCCGAAGCTTGCCGTGTCTTGAATCCGTCGTCGTGCGGTACTCGAGGAAATCGTCCGAGTCTAGCGGATATTCGCATATTCGCAGAGCGAGAAAGCACACATCTCTCCCGAAAAGAAAAAGCTCGGAATCACACACCTAACTTATCACCACACCTCTTTCCAACACAACCGGGATCGCCGTGCTCGCGATCGGCCCGTCCGCCCCCCCTGGATCCTCCAGACACCTCGGGTCGGTTTTGGGCGTACGGCGCAGAGACTCTTCCCTTCGTCGCCGCTCCCAACAGCTCCTCGTCCGCCGCCACCCTGGCTGCCCTTGCGATTCCTCCGCCCGCCATGGGGACGGCGCTCGAGGCGCTCAATGCGCCCTCTTCGCTGAGCGCCCGTCGCCCGGGCGCCCCGAGTCTTCCTAGCTTTGAGCTGCCGCCTCCGGATTTCCGTCTCGGGCCTTCATCGCAGAAGCTGCCTCTGCAGCCCGCCGCCAGTGCCGGTCTGAGCAGTGTTGGGAATCTGTTGACGCCCCCCGCGACAAATCAACCGAGCGATCTGCAACAACAACAACAACAACAACAACAACAGCAGCAGCAGCATCACCATCATCACCATCACCACCAACAACAATCACATCCTCCGGGAGTTTCGTCTGCTCCAGAAGTCCCCTCGTATTCCTCCTCTGCCTACTGGCCCGCTCAGAATACGTACATCCCGTCGTGGTCTTCGAATAGTGGGCTCTTTGCCCCTCGCTTCTCACCAGTTGGTGCTGCTGGTGGTGGTGGTGCTAATAGCGGAGCAGCAGCGGCGGCGGCAGCAGCAGCAGCGGCAGCAGTAGCAGCAGGCCGTGCGATCGCGTCGCCGCCGACTAGCGAACCGTTGTCCCAACCGTATGATTTAAACCAGCTCCCCCCATTCCAGCAGCAGCAGTCTGTTCCGTCGCCGAACGCACCGACGACAGCCGCGCCACCTCCTCACGCGATAACCCTGCTGAGCCCTTCGGACATGTACGCCTCGAAACCGTACGGCGGTAACTCGACGTATCCAGCGCCACCTTCATCGTACGGAGCTGCAGCAGGAGGAGGGGGAGGAACAGCCGGAGCAGCAGCAGCAGCAGCAGGAGGAGGAGGAGCAGGAGGACCGCTAGCCCGCCCCTCGCTGAGCTACCCGCCACGTCAACCGTGGCCGTCGTACTCGCTGCCGGCGATGACGGGACCGGTGATGACCAACGTGCACAGTCCAAACGGGCAGATGTCGCTGCTGGGCGGCCTGCCGACGGGCCTACTTCCGGGGTTCAACAGCGGACAGGTGGCGAGTCTGGCGCAACATGCGCATGCGCACGCACATGCGCACGCGCATCAACACCCGCATCACCAACACCCGGGGCATCTGTACGGCGGGGCGGCGCTGCACCACGGCCACGCGGTGCCCACGGACCGGCCGTTCAAATGCGACCAGTGCCCGCAGAGCTTCAATCGCAACCATGACCTCAAGCGACATAAGCGGATCCATCTGTCTGTCAAGCCGTTTCCCTGCAGCCATTGTGACAAGAGTTTTTCCCGAAAGGATGCTTTAAAGGTATTTTCTTCTTCCTTCCTTCCCTGCCTATGTTCTGTGCTAATGAAGTAGAGACATATTCTCGTCAAAGGGTGCGGCAAGGAAGCCAAGGAAGAGCGCGAGAGCCCACGGTGATGCATTCCGGCGTTTTTAAGCGATGTATTGTAGAGCTACGCGTCACGATGTATTAATGACTAAGTATAGTACCAAAGTTCGATAGTAGAGAGCACAGTAGAGTAGGCATTCACAGAGTAAACTGTTCGAATAAAACCACGCCCGGCCTGTCCATCTCCCGTCCAGCCCAACGGAAGTAATAAGGATCGTTGGACGCGATCACCCGCTCTTTAAGGAAGGTAAAGACGAATTCCTCCCGCACCGCCACTCGGGTGGTATTCTCAGTCGACGAGACGGACAGAATGCCGGCCTGGTAGTTTGCGAGAATCTCCCCGTTGATCGCCAGGTAGACGGCGGACGATGTTTCGTTGGCGGGCGACACGACATGCAGCCAGACCAGCGAGACGCTTCTTCCCTGCTCGACGAGATGGGCGTGGCCCCATGACCAGGTTGATACGCGGGATGCGAATGCTTGATTGGACCAGTTCTGTCTGTGAGATGGTGATCAAGAGGAGGGAGAAATGGAGAGATAGATAGAGTTACCTTGTCGTGATAGCCGGAGCCGTGGAAGGAAATCTCCTTCCCATCCAGCACGAGGGAGACTTGGGCGGTTCCATCCGGCAGGGGATTCACCCATCCGATCTCAGATAGATACTGTTCGTTTCTCATCTGGCAAAAGCAACGCGCGTTAAATAGGTAGACAGGGTGGTGGAAAGAGAAGTACCATCGGAGCTTGTATGGATATACTGCCTGTAAGATTGGCAGTGTGGATATCCAACTGGTAGACAAGATGATCATCATGAGAGACGCCATCAAAGACGAAGCCTGCGTCCTGCCAGTCGCCGGCGATTTCGTCCGGATGAGAAGAGTGCAGGAGGGCAAGGGAGGCAGGGAAATGGGCGTGCCAGACCTGCCCGTCCTTCTCGAGCCAGAGATACGCGCCCAGCACGGACGAGGAAGGGTAGAGGAAGGGAAACGCGGACTCGGAGGCGGCGAAGAAGGTGCACACGAGGGAATACTCGCGTGCGACCACGTCAAAGTACCACCAGTCGAACGCCGAGGCGTTGATCGCGCTCAGTTTGGGGGCGTCGAGCGAGGCGAGCGAGGCGAGCTCCGAGGAAACCCGCAGCGGGAGAGACGAGGCGTTTTGCACGGCACTCGGGATGGTCACCGTGAGGGAATACGCGAGGGGGAGAAGAAGCAGAAGTAGATGAAGGGGGGACATTATCAGCATTGAACTCATAGTAGTAGTAGTAGTAGTAGTATAGTTATTGACAGTTACTTTTCACGTACAGAGTATATAGCTGAGATATACTAATTCTCTCTTTCATTCTCTTTAATAGTATTAGATCCCTAAAAAGATAATCAAATAAGCCTGAAATATAGATATAGACTGAAAGAACTGATAGAATGCTGCTCTTTGTTCTATGTAGTACAGGCAGGGATGGGCTTAGAAAAGGATGTATGCGAGTCAGTTCTCTAATTTTAGAATAGCCTAGTCAATCTAGCAATAATAAAGTAGAAAGTATTCATATTATTGTCAGCTATACACACTTCTATATACACACTTCTATATACATACTACAGAATACTACAATGTATGTTTGCTCTGTTTGTCTGTTGTCGGTCTTAGTAAGCAAGATTACCCCTCATCCTCATCCCACTCTGCCACAGCCAGACTCTCTCTTCACACACAACGTTGAACTCATCCATCATGTCTTCCGGCCAGGTTACTGAAATCGACAAGTAAGTATCCCCTCGATTCCCTCGATGCAGGTAGTAACAAGAACCAGCCCCGTGGTCTTCAAGGCCCTCATCTCCTCCGGCGTCGTGGTGGTCGACTTCTTCGCGACGTGGTGCGGCCCCTGCAAGGCGATCGCCCCGCAGGTCCAGAAGTTCAGCGAGACCTACCCGTCCATCCGTTTCCTGAAGGTGGACGTCGACAAGGTGCCCGAGATCGCCGCCGAGCACGGCGTCAGCGCCATGCCCACGTTTTTGTTCTTCAAGGATGGAGAGAAGGTGGATATGGTCCGGGGGGCGAACCCGCCCGCCCTGCAGAAGGCGGTTGCGGCGCTGGCTTGAAGAAAGGATTGTCTTGAATAGACGGTTTAATGTATTAGACTGTTCAATATGAATCGATTTCTGTGGCTGGAGACAGCAAGATATCACTACCACATGCAGCCTCGGTTCGTTACACGGTCATCCCCGGGTCAGTGTCACTAGGAGTATATGAAATTGTAGACGGTTTCTACGACTGCGACACAGATGACGAAGTCGAGGCACTGCAATAGTTACAATAGTTCAAAAGCTACACTCGTACAATACTGCTACATACTGTAGATCAACTCTTGAATAGACGCTTGAAGGCTAGCTTGTGTCACACAGCCTGGATATATAAAGCCCGACTCGCACGACCCTCCCACTACATCGCCATGGCGGTTTCCACCCGGTAGGTAGTGCCGCTCCCTGTTATATTCCACAGGCTGCTAATCGACCAGCCCCGCCAGGTTCTGCGCCGCCTGTAATGGCTGCCACGCAGCAAAGGTATCTCTCTTCACAATCTGACCAGACAGGCCAGGGTCTTGCTTATTCTGTTGATGATCAGGTCAAATGCAGCGGCGAGAAGAACGGCTGTCGACGTTGTCGTGCATTGGGGACCACCTGTCGGTATAATATCTCGATGGTTGGCCGTGTACCGGGCGTGAGACAACGTCATGGAAAGAACCACGACGGCGATCGCCCTGAAGCCGGCTTGGCGGATGAGGACCCGATTATTACCCCGTCGCTTGCTTGTGTTGCCCCTTTTCCAACCTATCTCGCTCCAGACAGCTCTCTGGCGGTCTGCCGTCTGATCGAACTGCTGGACGTGAGTATCAGACGATCCCCACCGTTAGACGAGGTGATGAGAATCTCTCGCGCAGCAGCGACACAACTCGAGACGGTATTGACTGACTGGGTGAGCAGCAGCAGTGCAAGTCATGAGTGTGTGTGTTGTGTGGCAGTCAACCTGGCCATCAGCTTGCTGGAAACCAGCGCAACGGACAGCGTCCTCCCCATTGTGCGGTTCGGGACGCTGACGGTGGAAGGCGAGGCGCGGCGGAGCGTCGTCCAGACGATGGTGCGTGGAGAGGCCCAGCGCTGGCTGGAGGTGGTGGACAGACTGCAGAGGGGACAGGGGACGATGAGCCTCCCCGGCGTACCGAGCGTGGGCGAGCAGAGCGTGGTCCGGGTCCTGAGCTTCTGGTGCGAGGAGTTTGGACGCCGTCTGGGGGGGTTAGTGTATGGAGGAGTATATTAGAGTCCAAGTACAATCAGAACCATTCACTCTGAGTCTGTCAACACTGTCTCGAGTCTTGAGTCTACACTGTCAGCTTACAAAGACGCAATCCATCCCAGTAGCAGCCGGATTGCTATCCCTGATCAGGACTAGCCAGTTCTTCTTAGTACTGGTACTCACACCTCATACAAAATAGATCCTTCAATAACTATCCAGCAACCTTTATAGAGAAATATTCAATAATATATTATAGGATATACTCTATAGCTAAGATATAAAGGCTATGATAATATTTTGATATAAGGCCCTTTAGAACCCTAGTATATTGAAATTATAGTGTATTATTCCTGTAATGATTAAGAGAATATAAGAAACATTCAATATAAGGATTTCTTTTAATATTAATATAGAAATAAATCTTGGCCTCTATACCAAGAGTATATCACATAGTTACTATGTAGTGAGAGGGTTATAAACTTACTACATATGTAAGAGCCTGTAACCCTCGCTACGCTGGCTTGAGAGACGACGGAGGCCACGGAAAATTGATGGGGGAAGCACGGGAACTAAAAACGGCAGAATCATGCCGCCCTAAACCATACAAGGTGTGTGGGAATGTTACGGAGTACCTAAATACCTAGTTAACTAGGTACCTACCTAGTAACCTAGGTTAGGTAGTTACCTAGTAGTTAACTAGGTACAGGTAAGACTGTAAGTGTAACTATACGGAGTAGTAGGTGAGGCACCTAGTAAGTACCAAGCAGACCTAGTAGAATAAGCCTTGACGCATTCCTCTACTACTAGCTAATTAAGTACCGAAGTACCGATAGCTAATAAATCTGCCCTCTTCTTGATCTTCAATACTCCGTACTAAATGGACAGGAATTAAATTCCGAGCCGGGCTCCGCTGGAGCGAAGCCGATTAGTGGTGGGTGTCTTTCCCGGGAATTCCTGATTGGAAATCCATTCTTTACGCATCTATTCTTATTTACTAATTTAGATAGTTGCTATCTTATTATATTGTCGGCGATTCCTTTGCTTCCATGCTCCCCTCGTGTGAAACGGCGGATGGGATGCTCTCTTCCACTGCTCCATAGCTCGTCATGAACCGCTCGCTCGCTCCTGCCCCACCCGGCCTGCTGCGAGTTTCGCCCGACGAACTCGATCCGCCGTCGAGGAAACACGCCACGACTGCCTGTGCCATCTGCAAGAGGAAGAAGCTCAAGGTATGTGTCTTCCCCTCCGGTCTGTAGAGGAGTCGGTCGCTCTTATTCTTGAATGGTATTAGTGTCAAGGAGGCCATCCCTGCCACCACTGCCGCCTCAATGCCCTCGAGTGCGTCAAGGACGAGGCCCGCGATATGCGCCGTAAAGGCGCCTACAAGCGGAAATGCGAGGCTCTCGAGGCCAGTCACGACCTGTTGCTTCGCATCCTTGATCGTCTGCGTCGTGCTGAGCAGGACAGCGACGCCCTGCGTCCGCTGCTGGCCCTGGTGCGCAGTGGTGCCGACCTGACCGAGATCCACCGCTTCGTCGACGGGCCGCTGCGGCCGTCGTTGACGACGACGGCGATGACGACGATGATAATGGCGGCTACTGTCGTTGAGGATTCAGAGGACTCAATGACCGTCGAGGGAGAGGGGGAGAGTCTGGACAATCCCGACGACGAGAACGACCTCACGCCCCCTCCCCCCCCGCGACGTTCCATGATGGGCGTCGAGCGGCTGTCCGATATCCCCCTCGTGCGCGTCCCCGCCCGCCCCTGGACGCGCACCACCACCGACGACGAGCTGGTCTCGCATCTGGTCTCGCTGTGGCTGACCTGGTGTCAGCCCTTGCCCGCGCTGGTCCATCGCCACGCCTTTCTCCAGACCATGCAGACCGGTCGGCCGGGCCCGTTCTGCTCGCCGTTCCTTGTCTGCGCCATTCTCACCGAGGCGAGCGTAGGTTTCAACTGAGTTGCTTCTTATATAAGAGAGAGAAAAACAAAGCAACTTTACATATCTGATGGAACTGACTTAGACGCTCTGCGACTACGAAGATGTCCTTGGAATCCCGGATGATGTCGCCTCGCGTGGTGCCCGCTTCTACGACGAGGCACGCCGTCGCCTCGACGACGAGGGCCTCGAGCTTACTACCGCCCAAGGCCTGGCCATTTTGAGCATAACGTAAGAGAGAGAAAGGGAGTGTGTCTGAGAGAATATACTGACTCTCTAGTTTGACTGCCAAAGGGAGACACCGCCAGGCGTGGACGTACCTCAGTCTGGCGCGCAGCATCGCCGACGAGCTCGCCCGCCGCGCAGTGCACGATGAGGCCGTTCAATACGGACTGTGGGGGATATTCAGCATGACGACGTCGGTTTTTTTTTTTTTTTTTTTTCTTTTTTTTTTTTTTTTTCAACCCTATGTATGGAAAAAAGGTTAACGTTGTGGCGTACAGAACGGTCTCTCTCTCCATCTTACAACACCGACCTTCCTCTCCTCCCCGGATCTCTCGACCGACATGCAAAACCCAACACGGTACAGACGCAGACACAGACACAGACAGCTGGTCGCCGTATCCGCGCCGCACACAACCCGAAACCACACCGGCACATCTTGCCTGCGTGTTCGACCGCAGCTGCGACTTGGCTCTGATCGCAAGTCGCATCGGCAGCGCCCTGCTGTACGCCGATCCCCCCCCGTCGCCCGAGACTGCCGAAGAGACCGCCGATGCGATCTGCCAGCAGCTGCAGACATGGTATGCGACGTTGCCGGAGGGTCTCGCCGTTGTACGGGAGGATAGCCTCCCGCATATTTTACAATTACAGTGAGCAAAACTAAATCTTGGGCATCTGCGAAGAAAAAACTAATTGCGGCAGCATACAATATCACATTTCCATCATCCAACTGTTCCACCTGGTGAAAGGCGACCGAATACAACAAGTGCACGCCGAGGCTCTCTCTCAGATCGTTGCCCTGCTCCGCATCCATCGACGCACGTGGGGACTCGAGCGCATCTCCCCGACGAGCCTGTACTGGGTGTGTCTGTCTCTGGCGGATTTGATCTACAGGAACGACTGGTCCGTCGAGAACCAAGAGAACATGACCGAGCTCTGCATCGTGGCCAGAGCGTGTTCCCGTCGCTGGCCGCTTGCGGGGGGTGTCTTGCGCATGGTCCAGGTCAGTGCGCGGAGGAGACGGATGGAGCTGTCGGCGGAGACGAAGGCGCTGTGCATGGATTTCGAGGTGAGGGTGGATGATGCAGCTGATGACTCGATGGACCTGGATCATCCTCCGAGTAGGGAAGACTTTCTAGAGGCGTTTACGTCTGGGGCGATGAGGTTGACGAGGTGAATGCCATCTACATTTACATGTTCACTATGTATAGATAATGATAATCACTGAGTATGAAAGGTTACTTCTTCAACTTGCCACTGGAGAGGAGGGTTGTCCTTCGAACGGGGTGAACGGCAGAGGTAAAGTCGCGAATGTCCTGGATCAACTCGCGAGGCTTCTCGAGGGCCGCAAAATGGCCTCCCTTGGCGTGTTCGCGCCAGAAGACAATATTCTTCGAGACCGAGGCACTTGCCCACCACCGGGGGATATTATAGACATCTATAGAATTAGAAAGAGGTTCGAAGGGGGATATGACTGTTCTCACCCCGTGGAAAACAAGAGACGCCGAAATCGACGTCGGGCGACAAGTGCAGATTGGCCGCGTACTCCTTGACGCGGTCGTCTCTCATGTTGGTATAAATCAGGGCATGGCCGGCGGTGCCCGGGATGAGATACATCATGGACCAAGTGATGAGCTCCTCGGGGGACCAGACAAAGTCGTCGTCGACCAGGGGATGGAGTTTATCATACAACCACGCCAGCATGCCGATCGGGGAATCGACGAGCGCGGCGGCGATGGTGAGCGGTTTTGTCTTTTGGATCTCTGCGTAACCGCTTTCCTCACTCCGCCACCATTTCAAGCGTCGGAGAGTGGAATCGGCGCCGCGCTGAAGGAACAGCGCCCAGACGACCAACAGATAGATGAGGTGGAAGGGGTTCGTCCAGAAACTGGGCAACGCGGCAGCGAGCATGTTGACGTGCACGCCGAGACAGTGGGCCGGGTAGCGGGCTCCCATGATCCTCACGACGATGCTGCCCCAGTCGCCTCCCTGGGCGAGGTAGGTATCGTAGCCGAGGGCCTGCATCAGCTGGTGGTTGACGGCGGCGATGTCGTTGACGCCGAAGGAGGGGGACTGCGGACACGAGGAGAAGACGAAGCCGGGGAGCGAGGGGGCGACGACATGGTATGCTTGGCTGGTTGGGTTGGAGGGGGAGGTCAACTCGTCGATGAGGGGGAGGACCTACGAATAGATCAGCAATCATTCTTTCAATTCAATTCAATTCAATTCAATTCAATTCGATAGATTGATTACTTCGAGGAAATTGCCTGGCCAGCCGTGCTGGAAGAGCAAGGGAATGGCGCCCTCGCGGTCGCTCTGGTGCCAGACAAAGTGGATGGACAGGGTCTCGCCCGCCTGGGTGATGGGCAGGGTGTACATGTGCAAGGAGGTGTTGATCCTCTTCTCCACGGCGCGCCAGTCATACTGCTTGCTCCAGTAGTCCTGGAGCGCGGCGAGAGTGCTGGGCGGCACGCCGTACGCCCATTCCTGCGTCGGGGGACAGTCGAGGTTGGGGGGGAGGAGGCGAGCGGTGGATACGCGATGGTGGATGAAGGCGAGCAGCGAATCGGGGATGCAGATGGCAAATGGCGTGGGAGGCATTCTTTCTTTGTTCTTGATTATAGTTTAGTTTGTTTAGTTAGTTTAGAATTGAAATTGAATTGAGTATGGTTTGCAATATAAGTATAGAGTATAGAGTAGTTATCTAATAAGTAGAGTAGAGCTGACGTGAGATGAGATAGTAATAACTAGAATATACATCTAAATAGTAATATTATGTTTAAAAGAGTTTATACTACTATGTAACTAAGTAACTATGGAGTATACTAGAAGGTACTACATTAGTTATAACTAGTTACCTTACTACATATAGTAACCAGTTAGTCCTATAGTAACTCCCTGTCGGCCCACTTATGCACTGTAAGCATTCTATAATAGCAGACAAGTACAGAGTATAGACAGAGTATAGGAGATGGCAGTATTTAACAAGATAATCTAAGATATTAGACCTGTTTATATATAATAAGCTACTCTAGTAGATTCTACTTTATATAGAATATTAATAGAATAGGTCTATCTTATGATTATATTTATTGTTGAACATGCTGACTTGTCTAACCCAACCAGGCAACCACCTCTTCCCCCCTCAGTCTTAGGCTGGTGCCTCAGGCCCGGTTTCATACGACGCTCAAAGTACTGGAAATGGGCCGTGCAGCGTCAGTCGAGACTTAAATATTCTCTTCGTCCAGTCTGCGGCCCCCTGGTCTTCCGTCTGGATTTATTCTCGCTCTCCTGATGGAAGGGAAGATCGATTTCCTCTGCGAACTGCCCGGCGATACGCCTACGCCCGCCCAGCAGGTGTTTGAGCTGGAGGGCGAATCCCCCCCCCCCCTTCCCCCTGTCAATATTCAATACATCCAGCACGAACGAGAAGAAGAAGACGAAGAAGAAGAAGAAGATGAAGAAGAAGAAGAAGAAGAAGATGAAGAAGAAGAAGAAGGAGCTCAAGAGGCGGACTTTGAGAAGCGCGAGATCGTCCCGGATTCCCATCTTCCGCCAGCGCCGTCCACCGTCATTTCGACCTCGACCACATCGTCTACTTCACAGTCGATCGAACTACCATGGCAACCATGCGTGATTCCTCGTAAGGATTGCGATTGAATTGAACTTCTCCCAACTTCTTTCCCCCCCCCC